TGTGGCAGGCTGTCCCGTGGCGGCGTGGTTAAGGCTGCTGGAGCCCACATGGCCAAATGCGGGTCGAGTCTCGGACATGGTGTCTTTTTTTAATTAGTTAATTTATTATCATCATCATCTTGTTTATGTTGCATTGAGTCACACACGGACATGGCACCTTAAACATGCTGGGTGTGCAAGTGCCTAAAATCCCAAGGGAAGAGAGAGGAAGAGACTGCAGGGGCCGTTTCCCCACGGGGGCCTCTCTCAGAGAGCACATGCACCTTCTGGCAAAGTAAACCGGGTGGGGTCGTGGGTAACCCTGCCCACGTGGTGCAGTGACGTGGAGAGGGTGCAGCTGGCTGCCCTGCCGCATATGGCTGGTGGGGTCTGTTCCGTGGCTAAGGAGAGTGGGAAAGGGAGGCCTGGACCAGGAGTGGGGGTTAGAGTTCAGAGTCCCCTTGAATGTAGAAGGTATGACCCCTAACCCTGGGGAGTCCCCCTGGGGCAAACCCAGCCGACAGCTGTGGGCAGAGGCTCCGAGGATGCACCCGGCATCGCCAGCCGCATCTGGTGCCTGAGGTCCCCCTGCAGGCCTGCGCTCATGCGACACTTCCTACTGAGGGCAGCACGGAGTCGCTGGGTTGCAGCTCCAGGTGCCAGCTCTGCCTGCTGCCCGCTCTGGCTCTTGGCCCCGCCCACTGGAGACAGGCAGTGTGGCGCCCAGCAGGGAGGGAGGGTGTTCCCAGCAGCCGGAGCTCAGGGAGCGGCTGTCTTGGGCTGGAGCAGAGACACAGCTCCTTGGTGGTTCCGTTCCTCGGGATGTGTGTCCCGGGGCCGGCCTCCACAGCAGGGTCTGGGCAAGCCCCCCACTCTGCACGTCAGGTGGGCCTGTGTTGGGGAGTCCCACCGCCCTCTGGGACGTGAGCCATCTGTGCCATCGGAAACCTGCCTGCAGCTTAGGTGGGGTGCTTCGTGCCCCGGCCACGCTTGAAGTCCCCTGCCTTAACGTCTCTGGACTTGAGGCTTTTCAGAACCAAAGCCAGGCCACGTTCCTTTGCAAGGACACAGGTGTGGGAAATGGCATGGTATCGGGATGGCCCGGACAGGGCCTGGACACCCAGCCTCTGCACTCTGGCTGCAGCGGAAGGTCAGTCCACGCTAGGCAGGGGCCTCATCTCTCCCCCGGGCTCTACATAAACCCCAGGAAGGAGCAGCTTTCTGGTGCCGGCCACCAGCTGTGCGCTGGGCCTGAGCAGCCATGTGCCATCAGCTCCTCCGGAGGCTCAGCCAAGCCCAGGCCTCATGCGGAGAACTCCCGCCTCCTGCCAAAGGCCAGAAAGCCTACTGCAGACCCGCTCACCACCTCCAGCCCTCACGATGGCCAGGGCAGCATTCCCGCGCAGGCCTGGGGGCTATGGTGCCGTGTCCTCTGAGGTCAGGGTGCCTGCCCATGTGTGGCTGGTCCTCGGAAGTTTCTGTCTTCAGTCCTGGGGCGGGGGCTGGGGGAGGTCCTGGCATTCCTTTCCCCAGACACCTGACTGCCCACCGTGGCAAAGGTGCAGGAGCAGGTTCGGACTCCGCTCCGCCCCTGCCCGTGACCTGGGAGTGCTGGGAAGGGTGCAGAGGGCACAGGTGCCACACTCCCTCTGAGCCAGGGTGACCTCATCCTGGCCTTGGCCAGGTCCTGCATCCGCTGAGCGTTTAGAATGAAGGAATCAGACTCACCTTCCCAGTCCTTCCAGCTCGGTCCTCCCAGGGCACTGGGCTGTGGTAGGCCGGGGACGGCGCAGGGCCCTCCTCTCGCCTCACCATGTGGTATTCGGGCCGGAGTGCCCCAGCCCTGTCTCCTCCCTGGCCTGGCCCCATGGCCTCACTCTCAGCCCGTGAGAACAGAACGTTCTCTCGCCGGAGGTGGGGGCAGCCGGGTCGCGTCGACCTTGTCCACGTGAAGCCACCAAGGCCCAGAGGTGCAGGCGCTCCGAGCACACCACGAGGGGCAGATGCCCGCGTCTGACCAGGCTGTGCCCGCAGGTTCGGCAGCGTCTTCCCGAGCCTCAGCATGGCCGTGAAGCGGCGGGGGCAGGGCCCGCAGAGGAACCGGCGCAC